GGAGCTGGCTTCTCACCTCCTCTGCTCTCCTCTTGCCAGTAACGACCGTGTGCCCCCCTTGTGACAATGAGATGAAGTCGGAGGCCATCGTGGAGCACCTGTGTGCCAGCGAGTTTGGTAAGGAGGAGCTGGGGGCTTGGGAGGCTTCCCTGGGAGGTGCGGGGCAGCGCGACTCCCGTGCAGGTCGGATCCTGGACCTCTGCGTTTCTGCTGTGGCCGCATTGCCTGCGGGCAGCCGTGGTCCTCGCCCGAGGCCAGTGTGCCTCTAGATGTCAGTGTCGGCGCACGCCAGGACGGGACTGGACGTGTCCAGATGTGCCCAGTTCAGCTGGGGGCTTGGGAGGCTTCCCTGGGAGGTGCGGGGCAGCGCGACTCCCGTGCAGGTCGGATCCTGGACCTCTGCGTTTCTGCTGTGGCCGCATTGCCTGCGGGCAGCCGTGGTCCTCGCCCGAGGCCAGTGTGCCTCTAGATGTCAGTGTCGGCGCACGCCAGGACGGGACTGGACGTGTCCAGATGTGCCCAGTTCCCACAGCCGAATGCAGCCAGGGGCCGGGGCAGTGGGAGCCCCGAGCATGGGATCGCCCAGTGTTGCTGCAGGGCCCTGCTGCTGCCTCAGCCCCAGCTGCAAGCAGGGACCTGGACGGTGTTGGGCTGGGGTCTGGGGACGGGGCAGAAGGGGCAGCTCCTGCGCTTGGGTGGACGTGGAGGGGGGTCATAACTTAACCCTGGTGTGCCCATGCTCCTGCATGTGCACAGCTGGGAGGTGTGGGATGGACCCGTTTTCTGCTGGTGATCACGAAGGAGCAAACCGGCTTCCTCCTTCCCCCAAAACTGCTTGCACCGCTGTGTTTCTGTTTAGCAAAGTTGTGCTGCTCTGGTCAAGTCTGGGTGTGAAAACCCAAAGCCAGTCCTTGTCGAGTTAGGGCCAAGCAGGGAGCTTAAAAAATGCAGAGCTACTTGAAAGCTGTGTCCTAAATTTATTAACTGAGTGAGTGAGTCAGACAATCACAGGTAAATAGAACTTCATTTAAAAAAGCATCGCAAGGAAAAATATTAGCTTTCTCAGATCAAACCTGGAATTAACTGGTTTTGACATCCTTGCTGGTGTATGTAACTTTCCCGGAAGGTTATTAAAGGCATATTGAACAAGGTGTGCATTCCTCGGGGATTAGCACTTGAATGCGCCCTGTGCCAGAGCGCGCTGTGCAAACCCAAACCTGCTCTGCATGCTGGCGTGTTACCCTTTCTGCTGGAAATGAGTTCTGCACTCTCCTGCAGGTTTGGTATGCCAGAAGTCCTAAGTTCAGCACAGGCGTTTTCTAACGGGGAAAAGCACGAACAGGAACACCCGTGTGATAGTTTCCCAGGAATGTGTGTGCTTCCAGCCGGGTCGGGTATCAGACACACGGATCCGCTGTGGCTGGGGATCGGGATGTGCCGCCCCAAGTGTGGGGTCTGGCCTCGGGGCCCCCCGGGTGGCCGCGGTTCCTGTGACCTGCCCGGTGGCGGCGAGGAGGGAGCCGACATGGTGTCCGCTGGTGGGCGAGCAATGGGAAGGGAAATGGGAGTTCAACCACACGCTGCTCATCAGCCTCTGCCACTGAGCATCCTCCCCATCGCTGGGATGGTTACATGAGGGAGGAGCAGAGGCCAAACCAGAATTCGCAGCCTCGGTGTAGTGGACTGGGACATTGACTTGCCCGCAGAGTACATTGGTTATGGGCAAACGTTGTGGTGATGGTGTCCAGAGGATGGAAATGTTTCTTGGCAGGCGGCTCCCTGGGCAAGGGCTGCACGGTGGAAGTGGTTGTGTCTGGATACCCCTTTGTGCCCCTGCTCCTCCCTGTCACCGGACTCGGCCGCGGTGGGAAGCTCGCTTGCCTGGGATTGTGGTGGTGTAGGTTTCATTTGGTGTTTTCTGCCGTCTGTCGTCGTTTTTTCTCCCCATCCAGCAGGGTCCTGGGTGCACGTGGTGCTCCCTCCGGATGCGCGGGGTCTGTAGCAGCTGGAGCACAGGAGCTGGGGGGAGAAGTGATGGGGTCTAACCCGTGCCCCACAAGGGAGGGCAGCACAGGGGGCTCCCAGCTGTGGAGAGGAGCCAGCGAAGGTGGCATCAGCTTTGGGGAAACTCCCCAGAGCACAGTGTGTGCCCTTGGAGCTGTGTTTAGTCCTGGGGAGTTACTGTTGTGGGGCGACTTCTCAAGGGTTGCTGTTTTTCTGGCACTGCAATGAACTCCCAACCCTTCCCGCTGAGGTTTCTCAAGCTCATCCACCAAGGTAAACACTGGCAGCTGACAGGTTACAGATCCCCGTCGAAGCCAGACACCTACAATAAATGTTTAAACTAACGTGAGCTGCGCGGGGCGGCTGTCGGGTCCTGTGCTGACTCCGGGGCAGCGTTACTGCGAGTCCCAGTTCAGTCCCAGGACAGCCAAGGAAGGGAGCTGCGCCCAGCGGGGATCACGGGGAGACTGCGCTGAAATGGGACCTTTGCTCCCTGTGCCAGGATGGGCCAGGCCCGGGCACAGACGGCTGGGGGCCGGGTACGTGTGGGTGACGGCATTTCGGGTCCTGGCGCAGCTCTGGTGTGCAGTGGGTGCGTGATGGAGCACGCGGTCGCCCTTGCACC